AAAGATATTCTCAAATAAGCTGTCCATGTCATACGGACCTTCAAGCATCCCTACACAGAGATATATTGTGGACAGCATCCCATTCCTCCTACCAATAGCCAGCAAGAGGTCCTCTGCCAGTAGTCATGGGTTATGGATAAAATCATGTCTCCCCTTCCCCCCCCAAAAAATGACTCCCCCCATAGTGTCTTGGAATCCTAAGTCTTATTACCTCAGAATGTGATTTTATCTGAAGATAGAGTTTTACAGAGATAATCAAGTAAAATTAAGTCATTGAGGTGAGCCCTAGTTCAATATGACTAGCGTCCATACAAGGGGGTCAAATTTAAACACAGACATACGTGGGGAAAACAGCAAGTGAAGACAAAAGTGAAAATTAGAGCAACTATAAACCTACAAATGCCAAAGATTGAAAGCAAGCATGAAAGAGATACTTCCTCACAGTTCTCAGGACAAACCAACCCTGAGGACACCTTATCTTATACCTCTGGCTTCCAGAATGTGAAACAATTACTGTCTATTGTTCTAAGCCTCCCGGTTTGGGTTCTTTGTTATGGCAGCTGTATGAAGCTAATATATGAGGTATGTGAGCACTTTGGAAGGAGTCCCCTCAATCCCATCAAATTTTCAGATGATTACAACTCCAACCAATATTTTGCCTTCCACTTCTTTAGATGTCCTATACCAGAGCTGTCAACTAAGCGATTCTTGAATTCCTGCCCCATGAAAATGATAATATAAATATTTGATGTTTTCAGTATATTTATGAACTAAATTGTGTCCTAAAAGGTTGAAGAAGCTAAAATGTAAAGGATAAAACTTGATTCTATAAAGTCTTTCTTCTAGTTCTGTTAAGTTACACATTTCTGAAGTAAGATTAAGTTTTGTTCTCCTGGGACCTGAAAATTGTGAAAGCATAAAACAATTCCCGGAACTGCCCATTAGATGTGTGTCGAAATCTCCCCTGACCACCTAGTTGCTCAACGAGAACAACCCCCTTTCCTCAGAAACCGTGCAGTCCCGCACGTACACACCTCAGGGCTTAAACCAATCAGTTTAAATATATACCCATCTTAGTACTGACCAATCACCCCCACCTGACCTGTTCCTGCCAGTGAATGTGCTAATTATGTTTTAGAGTTGTTATTTGATTTTCTCGTGGTATGTGATGATTTGCTAAAGGATGCTATGATGTATGTAAAGTCCCTGCCCCCTCCAAAGAATGTACATAAGCTCTGCTCAAGTTGTTCCCGGGGCTCTTTGTTCTTTGCTCCTCTGAAGTGAGCTCTGAGCCCCAGCATGCTGGACCCCCATTAAACCCTTTGCTGTTGCATGAGACAGTCTCTTGGTGGTCTTTTCCTCCGACGTTTGCCCGACCTTTACAGTCCCACCATCTCTGAAATAAAATTCACCTATGGAAGCCTATCCAAGCTTAAAAACAGACAATGGAGAAAATCTCTCTAAACGTAAAATACATATTTGGAAATAAGCAAAAAAGAATTATAATTCAGGATGCACAATAAGGCAAGCCACAGATGCACCTGAACAAGGAAGGGTGAGGGAGGGCTGGGGGTGTAGCTCAGTAGTAGAGCACTTGCCTAGCATCCTCCTTTTCCTCCCTTTCTGTCTTCTTCTTGCCTAGCGTGTGGGAAGCACTGGGATTCAATCCCCAGCGAAGAAAAAGAGGGAGGAAGAGGAGGAGGAGGAGGAGATCATCAAGAAGAAGAAGAAGAAAGAAAGAAATGGAGGAAAAGAAGGAGGAAGGGTAAGCAAAGTTTTTATTCACAAATAGGGAGAGAGTCACATAAACTGCTTGGAAACACAGTTCATTGGTCATGGAGACTGAGGCAAGAGCTGGTGTCAGTTCATGGTTGGAGGTACATTAATAGCTAGATAGCTGTGTTCTTTCAAAAGCATCTTATCTGAATTGTTGCAGTCGCAAAGAATTTTAAGATAAAACTTTGTTGCATTAATCTGTGTATACACTTGTGGGGTGTGCAGAACAAGAAGGATTTTTCTGCTCTTCAAGGGCAATAATTTGCCTCAGTTATCGTTTTAAATTCATTACAGTTTCAGCATAGAGTAAGAATTCAATAAATGTTTGGGGAAAGAATCTGCCCCTTTAGTTCTATCCTCAGGCAGTCCTACAACCAAGTCTTATCTCCGACAAGCAGGTATGAGTTCTCCTTCATAACATCCTGGCTCTAGCTGTTCGGGGTCAGGAAAGCACAATTTCATCTTGGAATAACTAACGTCCAAGCTCTAATCCCTAATGTGACTGTGTTTGCAAACAGGAACTTAAAGAGGCAATTAAAATTAAATGAGTTCATAAGGATGTGGCCTAATCCCATATGACTAGAGTCCTTAAAAGAGGAAGAAGAGGCTGCAGGAATGCCCAGAGAAAGCGCCATGTGAGCACACAAAGAGAAGATAGCCATCTTCAAGTCAAGGAGGCCAGCCTTCAGAGAAACCAAGCCTGCCAACAACTCCATCTTGGACCAACAGATTTCAGAGTTGAGAAAATAAATTTCCATTGTTTAAACAACTTAGTCTGCATCCCTACTGCAACCACTGCGTTGTGGCATCCCTACAAGATTAATTATGCTACAGGGTTTGGAGATAACTTGTCACATAATAATAGGTAATATACTTTCCCATTCCATCCCCCAATAAACACATACTTTCCATCTCTCTTCACCTCCCAAACTATCTTAACAGCTTAGCTCCAAAGTATGTAAATGGGAACTTGAACAAAATTTCTCAGAACCAACTTAGTGTTCTGAAGTTTGATTCCCTCACAGATTATAGAAAGGACTGTGAAAAGTCTGTGGCAAACAAATCTTTCCATCAGTGACCTCTGAGTTTTAAGAGAAAGCAGTACAGGATGACAATTAAGCAGAGTGTGACCCTGATTGACTTTAGACTGTGACCATGTGACCATGACCAAGACCATGAGAGGAAGATGAAATGAAAAGAAACTTTTGTTTCTAATCCAACTGAGAACTCGGGTTCACAAAACATAATCACTGCCTTCTGTGCTTTCCTTAGCTGCCTGCATCCATCTCTGATACAGACATTGTATCGTAGGACATTGTGACCCCTCTTGCTCTTCAAGAGCAGTGACTTGTCTCGGTTATCCTTTTAAATTCATGACAGTTTCAGCACAGAGTAAGGATTTGATCAATGTTTGCAGAAAAGATCTGCCCCTTTAGTTCTATCCTCTGGCAGTCCTAAAACCAAGTCTTTAAAGAGGCAGCACCGAGCTGAGAGCCTTGCTCATTAATCTAGTTCCCTTAAGAGAACTCCTCCGCTGCTCCTGACAAAGCCAAAGTCTGACCTTCCAGACAATCAATTTTACCTTCAACTTGCAGCGTTGATTGACTGGTAAGCTCTTCACCACTTAACCCTTGCCACTTCCTTTCCCACCACCATGGCTGTGCTCTGCCTCGTATTTTCTAACCATAGCATAGTACCCAGGCATCCCATTATCTGCTCTCCCTAGCTGGCCTGAATCATCACCCAGATTATAATCAAATCAGTGGCCCCCACCATCTCATCTATCTGACTCCAGGACATATTGAATAGACAATAATTCAGCAAGCTGTTTAAAGGTTGAAAACCTGCATTTATGATTTGATGACTTTAAATCTTTTACTTTTGGTTCTCTGAAGACCTGGAGTGTATGGTGAGTCAACTATGCTCTTTCAGCTGCCTCTCCAATGCTGAAAGGTCAGGCTGCAACAAAGTGACCCTCTGTTAGAGTGGAGAAAACCTCCAAAGCCTCCCCCACCAACACCTCAGCTATGGTAATCAAGTACATGAAGGTATTCCTGAAATTTAATTAAACTTTATTTTCCACAAAGGCCTGCTTCCATCCTACTTCAATAATTTTGGAAATGTCAACATACCTCCTCTATCAAGTGTATTCCCCTTGAAGTTTGTTTACATTCTCCCCGCTCCCCCCAACATTATGAACCAAAGAAAAAATTATCAGTTTATGTTAATAAATCAAGAGTTTCATGGAATCATCTCCTTGTTTCCGCCATTTGCAACACCACTTTCAACCTAATTCTGACATAATGAAAAGTCAGGAGATTCAACAGGAGAGAGGACTGATTGTGACACTGAAGAGACATTCTGGGTGCTTCTTCAAAAATTCCTGTCAACAAGCGGCCTTCAATTTTATGGTTGTGGAGAAAGTGTTACTGGAATTCATCTAGGTCGCCTTGGTCATTTGCCAGGATAGTGCCGATAGTTTTATTGGTATAAAAAAAAATGAGAATTGCTCACAGCAAGGGTCTGAACCAGTAAAATGCTCAGTCTGTGGCAGAGAAGACGCAGGGTACTCGCACACCAACCAGAACGCAGCACCAAATGACCTCCAGGGCTTGGTTTAGGGACGAGGCGCTGCAATGAACCACGGCGACCACCAGATGGCACTCAAAGATCAGGATCGTGGCGGACCTCTGGGTCCCTCCAGCCGCTTGTTAACTTCCGAGGGACAACTCTGCACCAATCTGGACGCTGTGTTGGGGCAACTTCCAACCGCAAGAGAGTCCTGCAAGGTTTGAATGGGTTCAGACTAGGGTACGGGATCGCAAGGGCCTGGCGGCCAGGCCTCATCCCGGTCACGTCCTGCGCGCCAGCCGAGAGGGTCTTGGCCCGGGACCCCGAGGTGCGGAGTCCGGTGACCATAGGCCGTGACTCGGGGCGGGAGAGGGGGCGGCCAGCCGAGCCTCCTAGGACCTGGCACCGGACTCTCCCTCTGCGGTGGACTTTGCCCATCTTGTCACCTCTCCAGGCCTATTTAGACCTAGAGACCGAACGCGGCCCTCACCAGGGAGGAGTTTGGGTCGTGTCCTCTGGTCACCGTGTGCGGGGACAAACAACGTCACGTTGCAAGAGTGAGGAATTAGGAGGCAGCACCCGACGCGCTGTTTTGTTTTTCTAGTCCTGAACCACTGACGAAGGAAGGAGCTGGGTGCTTGGCCATCAGAGGCATGAATTACGCACGGTTCATAACCGCCAGGAGCGCAGTCAGAAAGACTTCTCCCATCAGAGCCACGGGTGAGAAACGGGGTAATGCCCCTTCTGCCGGGGTGGAGCTGAGAACGGTGCTCTTCCAGCTGAGGGTTTGGTTGAAACCTTTTATTCCACTGCTAAGGCTCACTGTGAGCCAGGCTCTGCACGCAGAAATAAAGTAGGCATTAGTCCTTGTATTCAAAGAAGTCCTGCTAAAGAGGAGGAACAGCCCCAGGGGAGCTCAGGCTGCCTCCTGTGGGAGGGATCCTTGGTAGAGGGGCTGGCCACAAAGAATCTTCTTGGAAAGATGTGTGCACAGTGCAGATTTGTGTGGAATTGGGAGGGCCTGGTCAATAGGAGAGACAGGCTGAGCCACAAAACACACGGGAAGGCAAGGGTTAAGCGAAAGAGGGTCTTCTGTGACGCGTTGCTTATTCCTGATCCCTCTGCCTTCGGTTTCATCATCTCCATTCTTCAGGACCTCCGCCAACAAGGAAGCCCAGAAAAAGTTATTCTGTATTTACTTTAGACTGACATTCTATCTTAATACATTTGGGCTACTACATCAAAATATCACCAATTTTATCTTTCACAGATCTGGAGGCTGGGAAGTCCAACATCAAGGTGCCAGCTGACACCATGTCAAATGAGGACCATTCTTTATAGATAGTACCTTGTTGCTGGGTCCTCATGTGGTGAAAGGGGTTAGTTTGTATCCTCCATGGCAGAAGGAGGCCTTCCTCCCCTCTCTTTTTTAAGGACACTGATCCCAATCATGAAGGCTCTGCCTAAAGACCCCCACCTCCTAATACTACTACATTGGGTATTAGGTTTCAACATACCAATGGAGAGGGGGTGGACACCAACATTCACCCACAGCACATTTTATCACCAGAAATTGTTACACTTTCGAGTTGACTATAATGCATACTAAGTTGTCTCTGTTGATAACGATCTTTCTTCTCTTCCATGTTTATCCTAGCTGATATTGTGAGCAAGGCACCAAAATCACTCATCTCCCTGGCTGCTGGAACTCCAAATGCAAATATGTTCCCCTTTAAGAGTGCTGTTATCACTGTAGAAAATGGAAATTCCATCAAGTTTGGAGAAGAGATGATGAAGGAAGCACTTCAGTATTCTCCATCTTCTGGGTAGGTCATCATAGATAACATCATTTTATGGTTGCTCATCTTCATATCCTGCTCATAAAGTGACATTGCTTTTTAATGAGGTGTTCCATGATTAGGGAGGTTCAGGGAAGAATTTTCAAGTGCTAATTAAAAACAAAAGGGATATTAAATATTTACTTAACATTACTCAGTCACTACATTTCAAACTTAAATGGCTGGGAAAACCAGAGAAGCTTCTAAAAGGAAGTATGAGTTGAGCTGAGTATGACAACTGAAAAGATGGCTAGGTGAAAAAGCATATTGGGAGAAAGGAAGAAATGGATAATGCAAGAAGCAGCAATCTTGAATAAGGGCCCCATTTAAACAGGTAACTATGAAAATACATTGCTTTTAAAGGTTCAAATATCTCTAACTTCTTAAAGGCAAGCTGAAATATGTACCTTAAGACTTTTGCTACCTGGTCTTCTTCCAAGGATAAAAGACAGTTAATGAAATCTATAAATTGGACTTTATTAGAACCTTCTTTATTTTGCAACTGAAGAATATATTGAAACATAATGTGCATGAATTACATGTAACTTATACCTAAGCTTTTCTTTCCATGATACAAATAATTTACTGAGCCTGAACTTCCAAGAAGTCTTCAGAAAGCTTCCTAAAGAGAACAAGGAATCTATTATGCAGTGTATGCTCTAGCTAAAAGAAAGACCTTATGCTTTCAAATAGGAAAGGTGTACATTCAAATCTCAGCTCATTGATTAAATGATTGACTTTATGTGAATTTCTGATTATTGACAGTATGTGAATTTTCTAATCTCTGAATCTATTACCTCATCTTTTACATGGGAATATTGACACTAGCATTTTAGGATTTTTAAGTTGAATGTATAATGGGTTTGGTATAAAGATACCTTTTATTTTCTGTCTGCTATTATTATGATTATTACTACTACAACTTCACTACTACCAATTTACAAATACATTTTATACTTTAGACTTCCGAAACTTGTATCCTGGCTAAAACAGTTACAAATAAAATTGCATAATCCTCCCACCATTCATTATCCACCCAGTCAAGGACAAATGGATTTATGTGTCACATCTGGCTCCCAAGATGGTCTTTGTAAGGTAAGGCTGCAAGGAAAAGATAGCCATCACGCAAGAATCAAATATGCCTAAATATAGCTATCTCTCCCTCAACCACAAGAGGCTCATGTTTTGTAGATTACTGGTAGTCTTTCTTACCTTCACCTAGAATATAAACGGAAAACTCAAAGACAAAGCCCAGGGACAGAAGTGTATATATGGGATGGTTCCAATAAACAAAAGCCAGATAGTAATTCTTTAGGTTAATCTATCAATATTTCCCTCTTCTTTCCCTTATTGTAAATTTCCCTTATTGTGACTTTCAAAAATTATCTGCTCTTAATATCACTCGTCAGTCTGATTTTTCTTAAATACACAGCATGTGACCAATGGCCTAGAGCTATGAATCATTAAACAGAGATTCCCCACCAAAAGAATACTCAACTCCTACCAAAAACCAAAAAAAAGCTCATGAGCATTGCCTCATTTTATCTGGCTCAAAGATTCGGGTCACATTTTATTTTTTACCTGTATATATGAAATTCTGATAGAATTTCAAACTTCCCTAGAGGGCACATCCTCATACCTCTGAGATGAAAATGGTACTCCTTTGGTGCCTATTTATGGAATCCCCAGGCTCACCACTGCTTGCATTTTATCTGCCTTGTGGCTGTACTTCTCTAGATCTTATACAGACACTCCTTGACTTACAACTGGGCTCCATCTTGATAAACCCATTGTAAATTGAAAATCTGGGAAAGTCAGACGTACATTTACAACACCTGCTGAATCTCATAACTTGGTAACACAGCTGTTGGCCCTCACAATTGCCTGACCGACTGGGAGCTGCCACTGCCAACATCCTGTGAGAATAGCAATATGCCACATCACCAGCTCAGGAAAAGATCCCTATCAAAATTCAAAGTGCGGTTTCTACTCAATGCACGTCACTTTCACACCACTATAAAGTGGAAAAATCATAAGTCAAATCATTCTAAGTCAGGGACCAGCTATACATGTCTGTCTCTAACTTCTCTCATCCCTTCCATCCCCCTCCTTCTCTCTTTCTCCCTACCTCTGTCACCTATTCCATCTGCCTCCTTACTGGGTTCTTAGAACTCCACAGTTGGAATCACCACTGGGTAGAAAGATCTCACAATAAAAAGACCCATGTCTGATCAGTTTCATCTATTTGAGGTTTTTTTTTTCCTTTTCTTTTTCATGAATAATCAGTCCTGAATACAGATTCTGTATATTCAGTCTTCACATCTAAATTAAAATATGACTCTTATTTATCGTTATTTATATTACATCAGAATAGCTATTTTTCTTCTTTATTTTGTGAAAACTGTAATCTGGTTAGCTTTAGTGAATTTTAATTGAATTATTATTAGAGAATAATGGATTGTAGTAATAATACCTTTTAAAGATTTTTAGAAGTTAAAACAATTTTTCCTTCCTCTTTTTTGTATTTAGTTATAAAAAAAAAAAGTAAAAGGATTGGCTACTGGTAGAGCTTTTGCATGAGGACAAGCATTTGTAATTCTCTGGTTTCATATTTAAGAAATCTCTTTCAATAAAATTATTTTAGCAAGTAGATAGACGATGAGCTTTTTTCTACAGAAAGATGTTCAAGACAGTTTCTTCTCCACCTGTCACAACACCAGTAACGTAAAAGAAGGAAGATAGCACAAATGGCCTAATAAATAAATAGTTGATTATTTGTGTACATGCTTATTACAGGGGCCTTAGTAGGGATCTGATTTAATGTTTCTTCCACTTTGTTATCCAGGAAGGATGTTGTTTTGGGCTACTATGTTTCTGTCTGCATCTATTAAACAGTGCTGTCAGATGAGAAACAGCCTTCCCTTTTAATTGAGGATATTTGACTTTTGTATGTCCCCTAATTGAAATGGAAAATGGACATAATTAGGTTTTTGTTTGGTCTTTTAGTAATGCACAAGTCACTTAAGTGATTTTTTTGGCCCTAGGATGTTCTGTAAAGCCTAAGTCAGTTGGAACTTTTCAGAACATGTTTGTCTTAAGATATTAAAAGTTCCATAAGAAAAAAAAATAAGTTGAACATCACAGGCCAAAATGGAGAACAAAAGTCAAATCTCCTGTCTCCATTGGAAATGATCCTATTTTTGGTTCTGAGATGTAGGTTGCTAAAAATGATAGGAATAAGGGCTTGAGGACAGGATTGTGAAATATCACAAGGTAAGAAGGGATTACTGTGTACCATTCAGTCATTATTATGACCCCTTTGATATAGGGCTGGAACAACCCATTGCCTGAGACCAATGATGTCAGTGGTCAAAAACTCTAAGACTTGTCAAACCTAGTCATAATTGACCTCTAAATAGCCTTTAACACTATCAACCAGCCCAACCTTCTTAAATCCCTCTCCACTGGGTCTCCCAACCTTGTAGCATGGTTCTCCAGCTCACCTGTGCCACATCTTTGCAGGGTCCTCCTGTGCTTACCTATCATTACTTTATGGAGTTCAGCCTCAGTCCTTGAGCAGATCATCTCCTCAGCTGTGCACTTTGCTGGATTCCTGCGTTCACAACCGTATGATCAACCCTAGGCCAGTAACATCCAAACTCTTTCCAAGTCCATTTGTCCATCGTCCACCAGACTAAAAGACCAAACCAAAAGAGCTCCTCATCCTCTCCCCCAGATATGGATGAGGTTTTGGTTTTGGATTTCAGTGAGGAGCACCATCTCCGCCATCTATCAGTTTGATAATCAGAATTCTAGGAATCGTTTTTTGACAACTCCTTTTCCTCACTGCCCTGTGGTCCATAATCATGCCCTGTTGGCTTTCATTTCCCAAAGAGCCAGCAGTAACTTCCCTAATCACCCTAAAAACTTCCCAAACTTTTTCCCGTATGTTCTCGCTCTTCTCTTCTTCTTTCATACTACAGCCAGAATGCCCGTTCCTTAATGATTATCTGTGAGTTTTCCTCCCCACTCCTTCCTTAAAATTCTTACCCACCTCCCTTTACCTGATTGCCTGCTTGGTGTGGTGTCTGTCCAGTTCTCCTAGCCTCTCTCTCTACCTCCTTCTGGATACTCAATCTCACTTCCCAGAATTCTTTCAGTTTCTCAACATGTATGTATTGTCACCCTGACACCAACTTATCAATTCCTCAGGGAAGCCTTATCTGAGTTCCCTAAATGCCCAAGCCCTGCAATTGTGCATCTGTACCTAATAGCAAGCACCACTGTTTGTGATCACATATAGATTTGCATAGTGTCTAGCTTTCCAGAGGACTGGTAACTCTGTGAGAGTTAGAACCTTGTCCTTTTGCTCATCATTTTATCTGCAGAACCTTACACTGGCCTGACTACTAGTAGGCGTTTAACACGTTTCAAAAAAGCAATAAAGGGAAACAATGGATTTTAGGAGCCAAGCCAGTTATGTTCTTTTTCACCCTAGAATGTAAGTTGGCAAACTATGGCTTGAAGGCCAAACCCAGATTGGCATATAAGTTTGTAAATACAGGTTTATCAGAACTTGGTCACCCATTTACTGGGTTTTTTTGTTTGTTTGTTTGTTTGTTTTGTTTTGTTTTGTTTTGTTACTATTCAGGAAGATATGAGTGGTTGCAACACAGACACTATGGTCAACAAAATAGTGACTATATGGATCTTTACAGAAAATTTGCCAACTCTAGAGTCCTCTGAACTTAAGCAACAAAGGGGGTTTTGAGCATGAAAATAATATTATCCAAGCTTACCTCTGCCTCTCTTGTTAGATATTTGAAATGCTTGTTGATCCTGGAGACAACATCCTCCTAAATGAACCTGCTTATTCAGCAACCATTCAAGCTGTGAGTACACATTTCTATACGACAGCATTTCTCTTACAGTAAATAGAAGAAAGCTTTGCTCCTTGAGAATTATCTGCCCACTGAAAACTAAAATAGCATCTTTCATCTGTAAACAAGAGGATCTTAAATGATGTATGTGAAATAGGTTAAATATATCCTCTGCTGCATACATTTCTTTATTAAAATCCAAATGTATAGGCAAAGGCACTAATGAGTACGCAAATCACATCTTTTTTTTTTAATTTTTTATTGTTGGCTGTTCAAAACATTACATAGTACTTGATATATCATATTTCACAATTTGATTCAAGTGGGTTATGAGCTCCCATTTTTACCCCATATACAGATTGCAGAATCACATCAGTTACACATCCATTGATTTACATATTGCCATACTAGTGTCTGTTGTATTCTGCTGCCTTTCCTATCCTCTACTATCCCCCCTCCCCTCCCCTCCCCTCTTCTCTCTCTGCCCCCTCTACTGACATTCGTTTGTCCCCCTTGTATTATTTTTCCCCTTCCCCTCACTTCCTCTTGTATGTACTTTTGTATAACTCTGAGGGTCTCCTTCCATTTCCATGCATTTTCCCTTCTCTCTCCCTTTCCCTCCCACCTCTCATCCCTGTTTAATGTTAATCTTCTTCTCATGCTCTTCGACCCTACTCTGTTCTTAGTTACTCTCCTTATATCAAAGAAGACATTTGGCATTTGTTTTTTAGGGATTGGCTAGCTTCACTTAGCATAATCTGCTCTAATGCCATCCATTTCCCTGTAAATTCTATGATTTTGTCATTTTTTAATGCAGAGTAATACTCCATTGTGTATAAATGCCACATTTTTTTTATCCATTCATCCATTGAAGGGCATCTAGGTTGGTTCCACAGTCTAGCTATTGTGAATTGTGCTGCTATGAACATCGATGTAGCAGTGTCCCTGTAGCATGCTCTTTTTAGGTCTTTAGGGAATAGACCGAGAAGGGGAATAGCTGGGTCAAATGGTGGCTCCATTCCCAGCTTTCCAAGAAATCTCCATACTGCTTTCCAAATTGGCTGCACCAATTTGCAGTCCCACCAGCAATGTACAAGTGTACCCTTTTCCCCACATCCTCGCCAGCACTTGTTGTTGTTTGACTTCATAATGGCTGCCAATCTAACTGGAGTGAGATGGTATCTTAGGGTGGTTTTGATTTGCATTTCTCTGACTGCTAGAGATGGTGAGCATTTTTTCATGTACTTGTTGATTGATTGTATGTCCTCCTCTGAGAAGTGTCTGTTCAGGTCCTTGGCCCATTTGTTGATTGGGCAAATCACATCTTAATATTTTATTTGAAATGTGACTTAATTTATAAAAACTTGCTTTGTATTTACCATCTTTTGTTGCAGTATGCCTAAGTGTAACCATTTTGCATGTCAACTTAATATAACTTCAAACTAATATGGCATACTTAGGATTTCCCACTCTACTGTGAAATGAATGAGACTATAATAGCCAGAATAAAAGTCTGATCCTCTGCCTCACCTCTGAGAATTAGGTTTCTTTGGTTCACTCTGCTTTCATATAGATATGCCCACAAACTGGAACAAGTACAGGAAAGTATAGTCATAATGAATAGGGATTTGGAAACCATAGTGAATGGTTATAGGAACCACAGAAGTGAAGAGAAGGCCCCAGAGAAGACAGGAAATTGTTCTCAAATATGTAAGTTAGCCATGTGACAGAAGAATTAGATTTATTTGTCCATGTTCTCAGGTGGGCAGAACTGAAAGGTGGAAACTACAGGGAAATGATTTCAACTCAGAATAAGAAATTTTTAGTTATTGGCCTTACCTGACTGCCTAAGTAAGTTACACATTTCCCATCGTTGCAGGTGTTCAAAGTTACCTGCTTAATCCCAAAAAACCAAATGCCAAATGTTTTCTCTGACATAAGGAGGCTGATTCATAGTGGAGTAGGGAGGGGGAGCATGGGAGGAATAGATGAACCCTAGATAGGGGTTGGAGGGGAAGGGAGGGGGCAGGGGGTTAGAAATGATGGTGGAATGTGATGGTCATCATTATCCAAAGTACATGTATGAAGGCACGAATTGGTGTGAATATACTTTATATACAACCAGAGATATGAACAATTGTGCTCTATATGTGTAATATGAATTGTAATGCATTCTGCTGTCATACATAAATCTTTAAAAAAATTTTTAAAAAGAACCACTTCAAATTCTGACTTCTAAAACAATTCCTTCAGAAAAGGCTTTGTGAGACTGTATGCTGAGAGACCCCTGTATCTCATTGGCTTGCAGCTATAAAAGTCTGTTTCCCTCACCCTACAGATTCACAAGACTGCTGCCATTCTCTCCTATGGCATCTTCATGCTAAGCCTCAAGTTGACAGAAGCAGCTTGTATCTCAACACCACCAATCTTAAAGAAGAAGGAAAGCAGACGTAGAAAATCACATGCTAGGGTTTATAAAACTTCTGCTTGGAGGGAACACCCCTCACCCCTGCTCAAAAGATTTTTTCCAGATCAAGGCACATGGCCAAGTCAAACATAAATGGGGCAAGGAAGTATAATGCTTCCCCTGCAAACAGACAGGAGGTAGAGTGGGACAATAACAGAATCTACCCCAGAGGGACAATAGAATTACAGTATGTAACCTCAGCCCTCCAGAGCTTGGAGCTGAGTACAGGTTCATATCTTCAAGGGTGTAAGTAAAATGCTCTTGGTCCATATTAAAAAAAAAATAGTGGCACTTCCATCTCATGTTCTTGTCTGACTCTTGGACTTTCTTTGTGCTATACAGCTGCTACCACTGGGCTGCAACATTATTAATGTTCCCAGCGATAAATATGGGATTATTCCAGACTCCCTCACAGAAATACTTTGCAAATGGAAACCAGAAGATTCTAAGGACCCCAAGAAAAACACCCCCAAATTTCTATACACTGTCCCAAATGGCAACAACCCAACTGGAAATTCACTGAGAGGTGACCGCAAAAAGAAAATCTATGAGGTATTTTTGAAAAATGGGTTAGGTGGTTATGCTTTTGTTTATGTTTGACATTTTGGAAGAGTGATGTGCAAGTTCCCTTCCTTGTTAACCTCTTGCTTTTGAGGAAGATAATTTTTAATAAAAGTAGCTCACCAATGCTGAGAATTCTAGTAAATTTAGACACAAGAAATCACTATGTTCTTTGTTGATGAAATTTTTCTTTTCCCTTAATTGATGTTTCATATGACAGAAATAACATTCTTGGCCTGATGTTAAACTTCATTTTTTTTCTTTAATATTTGGCCCCACATTTGATTTTCATTATTTTAAATTTGGGTTTTTTAACTTGTCTCTTCTGCTTCCTATTCTTTATCATTTGGGTAACAAAGATTTCTTCAAAAATAAGAGACATGCTCCTTTTTTTTTTTTCTTTTTTAGTAAAATCTCTTTTAGTATCTATGATGCCTAGATTTTCACCCTAAACATTTTTAAAAATACCCAACATTTATTGAACTATACAGAAATCTTTGAAAAATAAGAGAAGTTTTTAAAATCTCTTTTCTATATCTGTGTTCCCTAAGCTTTCCCTTTAAATAACTTTTTAAAATAAGTACCAAAATTGTATTAAACTATATAGAATTTAATCATTTTCAGTGGAATCATAAGACAGATACCAACCAGTTCCTTTTACTCAGAAAATATAGTTTCAAAACATTTTCTTGTTATTATTTGTACTCTCCTATGCTCTCTCCTGGGTTCTGTGCTCGTTTCTCTAACCCCCCAAGAAAGCTTTATCTGATTTCACGATTATAAATTCCATTCCACATATGACTCCCACATTGTTCAGCTCTACCTTTCTCCTGAACTCCAGACTTCTGTCCTTAATTTTCTACCTGTATCTCCACATAGATGTCTAATAGAATTTCAAACTTAACATGGCCAAACTGGGACTCCTGGTTTTCCCCAGTTCTACCCCAAACCTCTAATCCACAAGCACTCCAGGTGCTCCATCCCCATAAATAGTGTGTCCACAAAGAGTTAGTTAGCCTACATTCCTCTCTTTTCCCTCTCTCCACCCAACACCCACATCCAGTCCATCCTGTGAACTCAACCCCCGTGTTCATTCAAAATCCATCCATTTTTCTACACTACCATTCCTAGACCCATCTCCTAAGCCACACCTGCTGTCACCAGACTAGGATAAGGACACTGCTGCATTTCACTCTCAGTATTTGACCAATGGACCATTCATTGCAGGGCAGGAGCCTGGTAAATGTGAAGCCAGTCTCAGGTTCCAGTCCCAGGTGGCTTTCCCTTGCAGTTAAAGTCCAAATTCCTGTGTTCACTTTGCAAAGCCAAATGACATGGTCAGTTCTGTTCTTGGGCCTTTTCTCTTACCATCTTTGCCAAGCCTACTTGCTACAGTCACTCTGGCCTTCTTTCTAAACATGCCAGGCTTTCTGCTTACCCCAAGATCTTTGCTCTCATGCATCCCTCAGTCTAGAATCTTTCCCCTGATGTTTGCACAACTTGTTCCCATCATTCTGAGCTCCAGTGTTACCTTGCAGGGAGGGCTTCCCAAGGATTCAACCTGAATAACTACCTCTCTCTCAAACCTGATCATATTGAATGTTCCTAGAATTTAACCTCTGCTCGCATCTAATGATTATTCTGCTCATTGCCCACTGGCTTATGCATTCTCTTTCCCACTAGACATTGGTTTCTGAAGAAAAGGAGTCTTTAGTTCTTCATTCATCTCTATCCTCACTGTCTGGTATGGCAGACCCTCAGACACTTCTCAAATGAATGGACAAATGAGTACCAAAAAAATTACAATTCCAAATGATTTTAATTTTAGATAGTTCCTAAGAAGTAAATATATTACTTTAACCTTTTAGCTTGCAAGAAAATATGATTTCCTCATAATAGAAGATGATCCTTACTATTTTCTCCAGTTTAACAAGGTAAGTGATGATGTCAACTCATTTCGCCTGTAGAAGACACATAGTTGTAAGTTATTGTGCAGCATTTGACGTCAGTCTGGCTGCTCGGTTAGAACTGTCTACTTTTGCACTGAAATTAGTGAATTATTACTAACTCGTTACCGACTTTAATTTTTTGGTCTTCCAGTTTTATCTCAGGATTAGCACTTTTCATTTTTTTCTATTACTGCTCTTTCTAGAAATTGTTTACCTTTAAAATAGTAGCTGGCTCTCTATACCATGCATTTAAGTGAACAGAGTAAGTCAGGCTGCTTGTCTTGAACTTGAAATTCTGTTCTATCTAGCTCCTTAAGCATTCCACCTTGGGTGTCGACCTCCATGTAATGGTAGGGCTAAGAAGGATGGGGAAGCCATGTTCAAGCTGAAGAATTAGACGTGTGCTCAGTTAGTGCTCTCCATTCTGCACACAGAGGGAGGCCTCAGGCAACAGGCTACTTAGTTGCCGTTCCTGTCATTTATGCCCTGAACAATATCTGCAGAATAATGGGCTTTTAGATTCCTTTTCACTGTACACAGATGTGCTTTTCACAATTACTATTTTCTAACGAACAGTGGTAGTGGGAGACTACCCAACGCCTGATTCCTCAAATCTGATATTTTACTTGCTCTCAGGGTTGCAGAGAACATGTTCTTGGATTCAGTGCTCCCTTTAAATTTACTGAGAAAAAAAAAAAAAAAAAGAAAATCTCTGTGATTTGCCAGAACATTATTTTGCCTACCTGCCCTCCTACCTCAGCATGACCATAAACCCCTTTCTTTGTACCTACGTTTGAAGCAAATTTTGAAGTCATTATTTCATATTGACTATGTTTCTCAACTTTATTCTCCCCTCTCCCCCCCCCCCCCCCATCTTTCTAGTTGGTTCTAAGGATCAACATTCTCTCAACAATCTTGAATGCTTCTGGCCCTCTTCATGTTGATCTTGTCCAAACAAATTTTTCTTGAGTCCTTCCTCTAAATCTGTTAATCCAGATTTTATCTCCTGGAACAAAGAAGGCCTGTTTGAGAAACCTCTAAATTCGTAGCCATGACATCTGGGCAAAGACAGAGGCCTTTCTGCGTGTGTTTGGAAAAAAAGCCTTGAAGACAGGCAGATGCTAGTAAAAGAATGTGCACATGTTTCTTTCTCCATGATAAAGGGCTGAGACAAAGAGTAGTGCTATCGGGTTTCAAATCCATCCCTTCTCTGCTCTGTACAAATAACCCTGCAGTTTGAGTTTATAAATTAACAGTAATTTTCTTCCCCTTTTAAGCCCTGGGAACCAACATTTCTTTCCATGGATGTTGATGGGCGTGTCGTCAGAGCTGACACCTTCTCAAAAGTCCTGTCCTCTGGGTAAGTCCTGTGTCTCTAACCTGAGATTGGCCTCAGTATCGTTTAGTCCAAACAATTCTTCTCATTTAAGGTGCTTGTATTCCACTTGCCTTATCAACACCAGTCTCTTTGTGAATATGAATATAGGCCTTTTTTTTTCTATTTATTCATCTCCAGTAGTCAAAGATGCTTGGCCATGAATCTAAAGTCATAGAGAGACTAGTCCAGTATAGTGTATGAAAGAGGATATTCAGAAATACTTGGCTAGACTTGCATGATTTTATACATGTACACTTTAATTTAAATTTGTATTTGAAAAAATAAGAACTTAGTTTTATTAGAATGTTTTAATTGTCTAGATCCATCTGAGCCCAGGTCACTGCTCTCTTCCTCGTGAAATCAGCAAGGTGATGTGTACTAATTGTTAATACGGGATTGACATGGAGCCTTTTCTGTTTTTGTGTAGGTTGAGGGTAGGGTTCCTAACTGGCCCAAAACCGTTGATAGAGAGAATTCTTTTACACATTCAAGTTTCATCCCTACACCCCTGCACTTTCTCACAGGTAAGTACCATTTAGGAAACAGGAGTTTTAAAAATTCAGATAAGAATAAAGTAGATGTTGGCAAATGAGATTAAGCTAAAGTGACAGGGAAGAAAAATCACCACTGCTAAATCTGGTTCTAAATACAGACTGAATTTGAAGATGAGATACCAGGTATTTACCTAAAAGGCGAATGAGAGCCGAATGACCCTGGTGTTTCCGTGCAGCAAAAACCCAAACGTCTTGAGAATCAGGGCATCATATTCATCTTGTACCCTCAGGGGACTCTAAAAAAGCCTGTGAAACAGAACAAAATGGAACTGAATTTTTCAAGTAATGTTGACTTTAGCTTTATTGTCTTGGAACCTGCAATGGGAGCACGAAATTCAAACCTCTTTAGTAACTCAGAGATGGCCTTCATTGCACAGATGCCGCCTCCTGCAGACACTAGCTGGAATGCATTTTAATGAAAATAAGGTCAACTTAACTTGGGAGAAATTATGAATTTTCCCACAAGCACTGAGAAATTATTATATTTGAAAATTATTGCAATCTTTAAAATCAGATTTTAAGGATAGAATTACTATGTAACAACTCAAAATGTATCTGAAAGTTTGTATTTTATGGGACACTTGTTTGGTCTTGTAAATTCCATAAAGTGTGGGTGTCCCCATATTTTAATGGGTCAGGGACTTTTCCCATGTTATACCTGCTATCATCAATGAGTCAATATTAATTTATAACATTTAGAACTTCCACTTTAAATAGAAAAATCTCTAAATATTATAGAACTTACATATCTTAAACAGTGTGTGTGTGTGTGTGTGTGTGTGTATTTTGGTTGGAAATGCAGGTTGTTGACAAAATATTTGCTTAGCAGGTGCAAGGCCCTGGGTTTGCCACTGAAAAGGAGGGTGGGGGGAGAAAAGGCAATAGACTGGTAAGCAATGCCTTGGATCTGGCGTTGGACAGTCTATCTTTGAATATGAGTTCTCTGACTACTTCATCAGAAAAAATAGCCCTAATGCCTCAATTTTTCTTATCGGTAAAATAAAAAGAATCTGCCTAATGATGACATTGTTATAAAGATTAAGTTAGTCAAAATCTATTGATATGTTACAATAGCGCCCAGCATATGACAAGACTATATGAATATTTTTCATTTTGACCTATGTGGTAGTCATCTGATTAACTATTGTTTATTATAAATCACTGATTGGTGTAAGTCAGCCAGCATACACATGTAATCAGGAATGATCCACTTGTACATCTGACAAAACCAAACACTTTCAGGGAGTGAGCCGTGACATTTGTTACCGTTCTGTCTCTTTTAGTTCATGGTGTTAGAGCTTCTGCAGCAGTGGGGAGAAGAGGGCTTCCTGGCTCATGTACAGAGGTATCAAATCATTTGTTAAGATGTTTATAAGATGTTAAGATCTCAGTGGACAAGGTATGGAGCAGCCAGTACTGATTCCCTCTTCTTCTTCCTTAAGTATCCTGAGATAGACAATAAGACAGTCTCCCAGAAGTCACAGCCTCTGCCTGTTAGTATTTCTTCTCTAGAGAGACTCAGGAGCATCCCAGATACGGTCTGAAAGCCAGGGCCACCCATGTCCACGACAATCTGAAATTCACACTAAGTTATATCCTCAATTTAGAGGATAAACTACTCATACACATAAATATTTTATTTAATAATCAATTCACTATGAGAGATACATGACTGATGCAAATACAGAGGAGTGCACTGGTATACTTTTGATCTTGAGCATTCTCCTAGCCTCCCAATGACCATCGTTATTTGAGACACCTAAACACAAGGACCAGTCCTGCTATTTCTACGTTCCCTGTTTTACATAGAAACAACCTTTTTGGCTTTATTAATTTTCATTTTTCTAATCAGCCCATAATAAAGGAAAAAAATATCACCAGTTAGGTCATGCAAATACATTCTGGTCCCTTATCAAGAATGTAGTCAAGATAGAAAAAAAAAATTCTTATAGCCTGAACTCCAGAGCTTTTTTGTGTTTCTGCAACCCATGGACTGAACACACCCTTGCTATTGATTCCTTCTTCCAGGGTCACTGATTTCTACAGGAGCCAGAGGGATGCAGTATTGGCCGCTGCAGACAAGTGGCTAAGTGGTGAGTGGAACATGTGTCTGCCCTTAGGATAAACAGCAGCACCCATGTGAATGGATGATAAATGCGGTGAATGAACAATCTGGTGGGAAAGAGACAACATTGTCTGGCAGTGTTCTTACCAAGGAAGTGTTGCCTACAAATAATCTCACAAGTAGCATCCTATACCCACCACCCTGGCACAGTTCTCCCCATCCCTAATTGTCTGCTCTAAGAATTTTGGTTCAAAAAAATCAGTCTAAAAATCAACCAGCAATAATTTACTTAAAGCTAAATAACATCCATCTTCAAAATATTATAGTTCTTTCAAAATTTTGTCCCAAACAAACAATGTACTCTATTTCTAACTAAACTGTATCGACAAATAATACAGTCTAAGGCAGATCTCTCATGACATAGATTTTGCCTTTTAATCATTAGCCTCATTTATCTAATATTACCTATTGCTAGTTTGTAAGAAGCTTAAGATTTACTTTACATTGTGGAAGAAAGTTAGATGGATTACACAGCTTTAATTGTATCATTAAAAAATGTCTTATCAAAAGCAGCCTTTGATAAGAACAATAATAAACCAAAAATATCAATTCCTTATTTCTGTCATATCTCATTCCCTATAAAGTCTTGGTAAAAACAGAATTATTACCTGTTTGATAAGAGTACCATTTTCCAATTTTCATAGTAATATTGAAGAAAAAGTTTTAACCAACAGCAAATTGTTGTTGTTGTTTTCTTAAGATAGTGATTAAAAATCAAAATAATCATCCTTTCTTCTTGGTTTCCTAACACTCAGGGAAACAGAAAGCTGGAATTTTAAGCCCTCCTTTTCATAATTAATTGCATTCTGATGAAAAAGAATTCACTGGACTTCTAAACTAAGTAATGGGATTTATCGAAATACCAAAAGACTCCAGAAAGAGATGAAGAATCCTCTTTTAAAATGAAACAAACACATTTGCCCCAGGTGTGGTCCTAATTACATAAGGAGAGAGAGGCACCAGTTCCCTGATCTCCACAAAGCCTGGCTGCAGCTGTACATGTATACTCAGGAACTATTCAGCCTCTCTCCCTACCTCTTATCCCTACACTGACTCTGAAATAGACCTAGAACATTAATTTTTCAAGGTAAAATTATATTTTCAAAAAATGTTATTACTGGGCGTGGTGGCATCTGTCTGTAATTCCAGTGGCCTGGGAGGCCAAGGCAGGAGGATTGCAAGTTCGAGGCCAGACTCAGCAATTTATTGAAGTCCTAAGCAACTTAGTGAGTCTCTGTCTCAAAATTAAAATAAAAAGGGCTGGCAATGAAGCTCAGTGATAAAGCATCCATGGATCCAATTCAAAGTACAAAAGCAACAAATAAAAAAACCAATATTATCACTGAAGGAACTTTTTTTTGGAAGTACTAGTTTATAATCACTGCACTTGTGTCATGGAACAATACATTTAATACCATCCGAAATGCCTTTGGAAGATGTTTATTCTCCTTTTTTTTTTTTTTTGTAGGTTTGGCAGAATGGAATGTTCCCGTTGCCGGAATGTTCTTATGGATTAAAATGAAAGGCATTCCCGACACAGAACAACTGATTAAAGAAAAAGCCCTTAAGAAAGAGGTAAACCTGGGAGGTGGGTGGAAGGGGGGACCCTAAAGGAAAGTTGCTCTTTTTCTTTAAGGTAATCTTTTATTTGAATAAAAATGAAACAGAGATATATTTTGGTTGCCCACCATTCATAAGTAATGGTCTGATATTAGGTGTTTTTCTCATTATTCAAATTGTAATAAATGTGGGCTTCTATAATTCCTCGGCTGGTCTAAGTCAACAGAAACACTATCATTCATCTCAGTGGACGATTACTTTAGTGGCTCAGAACGATCTCTGGAGACACACTCCTTGGGTTTCAGTCCAGCTCCACCCCTTACTGGACGTGTGGTGTGGGGGAAGTCACCCTCCCTGTGCTTTCTCTCAGGGAGAGTAAGAATCCATCCCTCAAAAGGTGGTTGCTATGATTAAATGAATTCTCTGTGTAAAGCACTTGGACTAATAAATACCTGGCACCTAGTAAGTTGTAGCCACTAGTATTTCCAATGAAGGGACTTTCTTTGTTGTTGTTGTTGTTTTCCCCGGATTATGAAAGTAAAGTGTGCTCACAGTAGGAAATGTGAAAAAATGCATAAATTATAATGAAAATTTTTAAAAACAGCCCATCATTTCACCACCCACATTTTGTGACCACTTATGGTGATTTTCTTGGCAACCTTCGGCCGTGTGGTTATTTTGCATGGCTAAAATTACATGGAAAAGTTTGTATCCTGATTTTTTTCAATTAAAATTAGCTCATACGTCATTTTTTTTTTCTCCCCTTGTATAATTAAATCTGCTGAGATTTCATTTGGGGGCATTGATTAGGCTATCAATTCTAAAGGAAACTTTTTTTCTGTATAGCTTTATAATTTACCAAATAAATTATATTTGGTAAATTATCCCTCTGCATTTATTAATTCCATTATCATGTTTGTCATTGAATCTTTGTAAACACAGAGGTCTGTTTCTAGATGCCTTTTCTCTTGGATTTGTAAACATAAAAAGAGAGAGTGAATTGACTGGTGGATGACAGGGTGCCTAAGCTGGTGTATAAGAGACTCTAGAGGTTAGATCTAGAGACAGACCACCTGAGCAAAGTCATTATCCTTTCTATCCATCTTATTTGAGGGCAGGACTCACACTTTACTCATTATTCTAATCCAAGTAGTGTCACATACTAGGTACTTAATATATATTTAATTAATTTATATCAAACAAATACATTTTTCCATCTATTTTTTAAATTGGTGCTTTGTAAGTAACATAAAGGTGGAATTCACTGTGCATAGCATAATTTGGTCAATTTCATTCCACTCCTTCTTCCCTTTAATCCTCTTTCTCTAATCCATTGATATCCCTTTTATTTTCATGATGTCCCTACTTTTTTCCCCCCTTATTTTGTTCTAGTGTCCACATATGAGAGAAAACATTCAACCTTTGGCCTTCTGTATCTGGCTTAATTCATTTACCATGACATTTTCCAGTTTCAATCATTTATTTGCAAGTGTCATGATTTTTTTTCTTCTTTAAGGCTGAATAATACTCCATCATGTGTATACACCACATTTTCTTTATCCATTTGTCTGTGGACAGCCCCTGGGCTTATTCCATAGCTTGGCTATTGTGAATCATGCTGCTGTAAACATTGATGTGTCTACACTATAGCATGCTGATTTTAATTCTCAAATACATTTTAATATAATAAATCAACTTTATATTTTCTTTGCTTCTCTATCAATGCCATTATCATCAAGCACTTCGGTTAATGTCTCTGTGTTTGTATCTCTGAGCTAAGTGCTAAGGATGTGGACTTGATGTTTAACTTTGCTTGTTTTTTTTTCTTCTTCTTCTTCATTCATTCTGTATATTCTGCTGCCTACTCCTCAACATTTTCTAAACAATCTCCAATTTATCACTGCTGCCTTAGCCCAAAGTTTGGTCATTTTTTTTACACGATTTTTTTGTTTGTTTGTTCTAATTAGTTACACATGACAGGGAAATGCATTTTGATTTATTGTACACAAATGGAGCACAAATTTTCATTTCTCTGGTTGGACACAATGTAAAGTCACACAATATGTGCAGGCATACATGTACCTAGGGTAATGATGGTCATCTCATTCTATCATTTTTCCTGCAAGTTTGGTCATCTTAAAAGAGATTATTACCACTCCTTCCTTCTCTTACATGTCCTTGCTTCTAGTCCATTCCAAAACTTTTCCACTATATTGGGAGAAATGGTAGTTTTCATATTTTATTAATCAGTACCAAGAAACTCATCTTCTGCCTTGAAATCCTTTTCCAAGAGTACCCCAAATTATTTCACTCCCAGCTCATCTTGTTTTACTGGATAGTACCCAATTTTATACCATTTAAGAACAAACAGAACTTTGTTTTTGAAGGCCATAATTTCACTAGTTAACATTAATTGCTGTAAATTATAAACCCCAAAATCTCAAAGACTTAATACAATAGAAGTCTATTTTTTTCTTTTTCTTTTTCTTTTTTATTTCAGATGGAACCTGGGGTGCTTTTCCACTGAGCTACATCCCCAGCCCTTTCTATTTTTTATTTTGATACAGGGTCTCACTAAATTACTTAGGACCCTCAATAAATTGCTGAGGCTGGCCTCAAACTTGCAATCCTCCTGCCTCAGCTTCCCAAGTTCCTGGGATTACAGGCATGTACCACCACACCCCGCAGAAGCCTATTTCTGACTGACATAAAATTCAGAGCTGCAATCTGCAGGCAAATACAATCCAATGGTGACTCAGAGACCCTGGCTCCTTCCATCTTGTTGCTTCCCAATCTTCATAGGGATTCTAAGATTGCTACAAAGTGGAAAGAGTATGGGAGATCACACAGGGGAACATTTCAGGGCAGGACTAGAAGTAGCACTCATGACTCTGGTTATGATTCACTCATGTGACCACACACAACTAGAAAGAGGCTGGAGAATGGGAACATAACTTAGTGGCAAAGCAGGTACTTAGAATGCATGAGTGAGGTCCTGGGTTCTATTCCCACCAGAAGGAAGGAAGGAAGGAAAGGAGGAGGAAATGAAGGGCTAGAGAATTAAGTATGTTTGTCCAGGATGAAAAGGCAGTGGAGTCTCCAGTCAGTGAGCTGTTCCTGACATAATGCAATTGTGCCAGGTGCAGTTCACACCTGTAGTTCCAGCTACTGGGGAGGCTCAGGCAGGAGGATTCCAAGTTTGAGGCCAGCTTGGGAACTTAGAGAGACGCTGTCTCAAAATAAAAAGTAAAGATGGCTGAGCTATAGCTCAAGGGTCGAGTGTCTCTGCAGTTGCTCTCCCACTCTATCTTCACACACTTGGTTAACATTTTTAATCCTTCACTTTATTTATTTATTTACTTGTATCTCCTTTCAGTTCTTTGCACCATTTTCTTGCCTTCTCAGAGCATTCACACTCCATATTGTCTCCCTAAGACACTGTTCCCTGATTCTTTCCAGGATAACATCTGCTTATCTTTCAGGTTTCCCAGCTCAAAAATCTCTTTCAGTATTGGTCAAATCATATCCAAATTGGCCAGATTATCCCGTGTGCACATATGAATATGTGACGACAAATCCTGTCACTATGGTCAACTACAATACACCAATAAAAATGTGGAAAGAGAACAAATTAACACTTTCAGATTTGATAACATGAAATGGTATTTCATTGTTTGAATCTATATTAGTTTTCTAGTCAGGCGAGGCATTTATTCGTTAATTGCCATTTCTGTCCTTTGCACATTAAAGCTAGAATTTTATCAATGTTCTTCTCCATCATTCTTCTCCATTTCTATGTGTTCTTCATATGTGGAGAAGAAATGGCACTGGCCATATTTATGGTAAACATTTTTCCAGTTTCTGTGCACCTAATTTTGTTTCTTGTATGGCGGGTGCAGTTTTTGTGTGAACATTTTATTTTGTGATTCCTTCGACCGCTTTTAAACCTAAAATGTCCGTCCCCGTTTGAGAACAATTTTACCTATGTTTTCTCTTAGCCTTTCCTTACTGGCACATCACTGATGTCCCACCATGTCTCCTAGGTCTTAATGCTTCCTGGAAATGCTTTCTATGTCGACAGCTCGGCCCCTAGCCCTTACTTCAGAGTATCCTTCTCTTCAGTCTCTCCAGAGCAGATGGATGTGGTGAGGACCATATTCTGTTAGTGTTACTCTAGCTCTCAGTTCTGGGGTTTGGTGCATGTGTTCACTTTGTAATTTAGAACAGTATTGAATGTCTTCTTGGGTTTCTATAAAGCAGATATTCATGGGCCAGTCATGAACTCCCATTAAACATCCCCTTTAGGCTTCTGTAGATAAAAGAGATGAAATTGGAGTTCAAGTTTGCTGTCTTCATGATGAACCTTTCAGAACCTAATGAGCAGTCCCAGAAAGTTCTCAACATGTCATAGGGAAAACCCATTTCCTTTCGTCACAAAGTTACCATGAATGAGAAGTACAAATTAATCATATCCTTCACTCTCCTTCTCTGAAGAAAATAGCATCAGTAAGGGTCAAATAAAATAATATTCTTAAGTTAATCTCAGTAATGCTTTAACCAAAATGAAAAGAAGCAAAGAAAGAAGATCCTAAGGGCTACACATCTGGAATTAAAAAAGAAGAGCTATAAATTGACAGTGCCATTCACCTTCGAAAGGTGCTTGTGCTTAAACCTGGGAGATGGGCTTTTTGGGTGTGTTCTTTCTTTACTTGCTTTCTCCTATCATTAAATGTGCTTTTCATAAATTATTTCTGCTTTTATATATGAAGAGAGTTGGACAGTTGAAACTGTATAAAATACATTTTCAGGGCAGAAATTATATGAAAATATAAAATAATTTGCATTGTAGATAAAATGGAAAATATTGATTTTGAGATCTATAAGAACCCCCATTATCCTGGAAATCCAATATGCTTCCATCTACATATTATAGTAGATGTTGGAGGCATCCTCCCCAGAGAAAAGTGATGTCCAGGGTGATTTTTCAACTCCTTATCTCAACCTTGCATAAGTAATCTGTTTGCATTTTTTAAATTAGGATAGACTTTTCCAAAATAGTCTCCTGATTTCATCCATTCTTGTCTCTTTTCTATTTTAGGCCTTCCAGAGACTAGCTCAACTTATAAAAGAAAATTTATGAAGAAATCAAACTGATTATAGTACTCATAGATTTTCCAGATAAATTATTTTTGTGTTTATTTGTAAGAAATGAACATTGACGTTGGACTTCTAGATTGGACTCCATCAAATGTGTCATGTCTGTGTATGTCCTATTTTAACTAGACAAGTTTTGAAGTGCCTTTAAGTCCATCAGATAGCCAAAATATATTTAGAATTTACTTATAGCTTCTGATTAATTTTCAACCTGCAAAAAAATATTTTTATCTTGAATTTTATTGTGAAGTGCTCAGTAGTTGCTTTATAATATCCTGTAAATCTTCGAAACCAAACACATTATTTTGTAATTTTAAAGAAATAAGTTCAAAATGGTATATAAGGTATATTTTTTTCTATTTTTAGGGAAATTTAGTGATAGTTTATTATAAAAATTGTTCTAATTTGACCATTATAATTATAATTAATCCTTTGGTAAGAATACCATAGACATTATCATATGCTCCAGACATCCCTTTAAAATAAAATTCTGGAATTAACATACCTGAAGGCATTAGGCCTATTAATTCTAAGTAAGGAGGGGAAATCATGGGCATAGGAAAATTTACTACATTGTATTTTCATGATACTACATAATTTACAAAAGCACATTCTTATCAGTTATGTCACTGAAATCTACTACAACCCTTTGAGGTATTAGGATATATTTTTTAAATCATTATTTTCCCATCCAATTATTAAAGGAACATATTCTTTTTAAAAAAATATCTTTATTTTATTTATTTATTTCTATGTGGTGCTGAGGATTGAGCCCAGTGCCTCATGCATAAGAGGCAAGCACTCTACCACTGAGCTACAACCCCAGCCCTAAAGTAACATATTCTTATCCTAAACTTTCAAACAATATAGAAAGTGTGAGGAATAAAGTAAAAGCCACTCACTCTCTCACCCCCATTGATAATTGCTGTCAGCATCGATCACTTTTCTTTCAAGATGCTTTCCTATGCATGCACATTGTGATATCTAAAACACTGGCATTCATTGTGACAGTGCATCATAAATACCCTGTATTAGTTTTCTATCACTGTTTAACAAATCAACACTGTGTTTCAAGATCCAGCAATTGTAAACTTATGGGTTCCTTTGAGGAACTGGAAGTTTATGTCCTTATTATTTATTCTACCCCTTGTGTATATGAATATCTCCATGATACTTATTGTTGACTTGGCATCTGGGTGAAATGTCACATCATCTTCTACCTCAAAGGTCAAAGCACCTGGCCCCAAGTCCAAATCCTTATTTCTGAGGCAACTGGTCACAGCTCTTTAGAAGAGATTAAAGAGACTCAGGGCCTAAAGGATGGCCAAAATGAAGACCTAACAATCCCCTTAACTGGGAGAAGAGGAAAGTATAAATTAGACTTATGGAGATAAAATAAGCCTTCTACTTACTTCATTTAGTAATTTTCAGCAATAACAAAGATGTCCCAGCCCAGCACTATATACGCGAGTCCTGCAGCTTCTAAGAAATTCTACTCTCATTCAGTACAAAGATGATCCAGTCTTTCATCCTCTCACTGAAGAGTGCCCTGAAATGGACTCATCTTACATTTTTTTTACAGCAATTTGCGCATAAAGATCAGAAGGTTGTGACAACAGCCATTAGGGGGTAATACTAAGAAACTAGAGTACACTCTTTGACAGGCATCTCCACAAACTTAACTAATCAAAATTAAACAATACTACGTTTATGTAACAAAGGTAGCTCAGCCACACTCAAGTCCAGCTGATCAGAGTCTTTTTTCAGGGCATGATAATGATTAAGAGGTATCATTTTGGTAATTAGCGTATTAACACAGGTCACAGTAATCTGGACATCCACAAAGAGAAACGTAAACATTAGAAAAGTCTGGAATGCCACACTTCGGGATGCCTGCAAACCAACTGTCAGCTGCTCCCATAAATACATCAGGAGTTCCTTCTCCCTGAGAAATGTCCTAATTTAGTTAGTGGTAGCGTCTAGAGAAACAGTCATCTCAGCCACCTTTTAGATTAAGTTTTCTGTAGTAGTAAAATCAGAAGAAAAATAGGTACAATATTCAATTTTGTTCATCACAAATATTATACAAGCCCCCAACATGGGCAAAGAGATCTAAAGATGCGTGATGTTCCACTAAATGTGTGTCAAACATGTATAATCTCATTTACTTTTTGGAGAATGGCTTCTAAGTAGAACTTCTAAGTAGAACTGAACGCCAGAGAGACCTGATTGACTACAAAATCCAAGATTTACCCTAACTTGCAGAGTAGCTTCAAATTCCATATGACTAGATTCTGCTGGCTGACCAGAGTAATTCCATAGGAACCCTATGGGAACCTTTCCTCAGTGGAAACTAACTTATCTTCATCTATTTCAAGGTTGGCACTAATTTTAGTTACTGACTGCTTTGCCCTCTGATGATGGAATATTATCCAGAAGCCAAGACAAGGCAGATGGCAAGATCCAAACCAACAAAGGAGGCAAAACAGGAAGCAAATTCTCTATAGACCCAATACAGGCCCTCAGGGAATGGAAAAGAGGGCCACCTAGTGGCGTTTGCGTAGAAATCAGTCAAATTTGTTCACCCATAAGTCTATGCAGCTCTTAAACAAGGTCCAATGGAAATTTACTTTTATGCCGTCTCCATATAGCATGCTATAATAGTACATAACAACATTTAGTAGAAAGGGACTTTACTAGACCTAATTCAGTGACATTATACAAGCAATTATTTGTACCTACATAAGTAGTCCCTTGGTCTTGACTGTGCAATACCTAGCAATACATACCTTTTGCAGGCATCACTTGGATAGGTTTTCCATATTTGATAGTGAACAGGTTACTAATAGAAAGGTCAGGGTAGTATTTCCAGTCAGCTTAAGAAACCAAGCAGTAGTGATATGTACAATATCACAGTCTTCCCTTTCCCTTTTGGGTTTTCAGAATCAGTCTCACTGGGAACACAGAGGCTTAATGTTAGGGAAATTGTTCCTTGAAACAGTGGAAACCTCGAGGACTCAGGGAGGACCAGGTGGTTGACTGAGCCCTCTATGAGTCCCTGCTGACCATTGAATTTATATCCTTTCATATACCAATTTTGTCAGGTACTATTGCACTCTTTACTAAATAGGTCATCTGGGGAAGTTGATACCACATTTCCTTGATATTCAGGATTAGTTCATAGGTAGGGGCTTCAACATTAACAAAGGCAATCCATAAGGGCAATGGGATATCAGAAAGGAGTTCATCTACTTGGACTCTATTTTTTATGTGGGTCCAACAACAAGAAGCAAGAAGCCATTTTTGTTCCCACAACATGCCAAAATTGTGGACTACTCCAAAAAGCATATCTACTATCTGCTAAACATTTAGCTATTCACAAACTTGGGTAAGAGCAAAAATCCCTAAAGGCCAATCCAACTTCCACTGAGGAAGAGTTCCCTTTTCTATTGACTCATCTTGGTTTAACAGGAGACCCTTAACTGATATTTTCCCATTCAGCAAAAAAACATGAACTCAGGATTATCCAATGGGGCATCTCACAAATCAACCTGAGGAGCCACTATTTCTCGGCCTACACTCATACAATTGTACTTTTCACCATCATCAGGTAGAAGTGATAGGGTTAAGTTGCAACATTTTAGATGGACAGCAGGAGAAAGGAGAAGAATCTCACCAATTTCTAGTAGTCTACTGTTAAGAAATGCTAAGTTTGGAAATTAATAGACTTTTCACAGCAAGTTGGACTTGCATATAAAGTTCATTTCCTAAAACCCATCTGGCTGCTGTTGCTTCTGTTTTAAATATTTAGGACATGCCTTAGCTACTAGGTCTAATTGCAGACTGATGCAAGATGGGTCTATGTTGGCCCCCACATTCATGGGTAAGAATGCCTGATTGTTACACTCATGAATTAACAAGGTAAAGATTTAGAATAGTTTGAAATTCCTAAGGCTGAGGCCTGTTGTAAGGTCAGCTTCATTTAGTTAGAGCCTGCTTATAAGTGTCTTCCCTTATTAAAGGCTCTGGAACTGTATTGCTAGTAAACTCACAGAATGGTAAGGCTGTTAGGGGAAATTTGGGGACCCAAGAACTGCAGTATTCTGCAAGTCCAAGAAAACCTCTTAATTGTCTTTGGTTGTAGGCCAGGGGAAAGTGAATAGGTTTTGTTCTCTCAAGCAACACAGAAATCCCTTTGGGAGTCGGGTCATGTCCTGAATAGTGGACTTTTCCAATTAAAAATTGGAACTTTTCCATCAAAACCTTCTGATCTTTATGTACAAATTGCTGTAAAAGGTAAGATGAGTCCATTTCAGGGCACTGTTCAGTGGGGGAGAGTAACACTGAAATCATCTTTGTACCGAATGAGAGTAGAATTTCTAAGAAACTGCAGGACTGTGAGGTCCTGATGCAATTACTGGAGAAAAGAAAGCAGCTTCAGTAAGCCCCAGGGTGATACAGTCCAGGTATTCTATTGACTTTTCCAAGAACACATAAATACTGGACCTCTTTCTCAATAAGGATACTAAGGAAAGCAAAGGTCTGTTACTGTTCAAAGGTCTGTTACTGTGTACCATTTAGGTTTTATGTTTTGGGGGTTGGTTTGGATTTTTTGTTTTGTTTTGTTTGGGTTTTTTTCATTTGTTTGTTTGTTGCATGGGTTGGTTGGGTGGTGGTTTGGTCTTTGCTATTTCTTCTCATGACAGAATGTTTATTATTGTTTATTATTTTATGCCAGTATATCTGGTGCAGGTTCAATTCTTCAGAAAAATAGTATGAACAATACAAACATTATTATCATACTTGTAATTTTTAAGTTTTCATAACTGAACCCCCAGATCATAATATAGATGCTGTTATTTGAGTGAAGCACATTTATTAAATAGACATGTGAAAACATTTTAGTATAAACTGACAAGATTTAAGTCAAAAAGACTGTAGGCTGATTCGCGTGTGCCATTTTGAATCAGTGATATTTGACAAGAA